TCCTAATGAGCCACATTATAGTATTCTTTCTCTTTGATAGAATGTTAACCCTTTGTGTGCTGACTTGTTTTACGCGAGCTGTAACCTCAGGACTGAGTTGTTTTGTAATATCAACAAAATTATCACAATGGTGTACTAAAATGCAAATATCTAAGATTGTTGACAACCAATTTGCTTGAAATTTGGCAAATATTTAGCAAATGTTGTGTTTTATTAATTGATAATTTTTTTTTTTTTAAATCTTATATTTTATGTTGCCATGGAAACCAAATTTTCAAAAAAATATATTTTAAAATGATTTTGTAGCTTTTTAACTATATTTTTCAAAGAAAATATTGCACTTTGATGAAAAAAATAAACCAATTGCTTTAAAATTCAATTTTAGATTTAATATTATGTAAAAAAAAATTTAATTTAAACAATAACTCAATGATAAAGTCAATGTTTTATATACCGTTATGTTGTGAAAAGTCATTGTATACTTATCTGAGTAAGAGATATATTCATGTAGGTTTAAGTGAATTCTGATTTAAGTTAATGGATTTTTTTTCAGATTTTAACTAAAAAGAGTATAAATTGAAGATTCAATTAGCCTGTAAATATAAAACCAGAGATTATTTTAAGAAATATTGGCAAATTATATAAGAAAGTATTATCATCAAAGAAAATGCAATTTTCGAGGTCGGGAAATCCTAGAGCAAATTGGCACAACAATGAACTAATTGCTGTTACTAGTATTCATTGTCAAATTAAAGCAGTCAATATGTGAAATAAATTTTAAAAAATAAAATAACATTAATTACACAAGTTATTGAGGTCTTATTTTCTAATGACTGGCCATCTAACAGCCCTAAATCTACTCTAGTAATTCTCATATCACTTTAATTTTTTTTTATTGTGCTTTTATTGAAGAATATGCGATTCTCCGTGCTATCTGTATTGTAAACATATTCATAAACTTTCCTCCCACAATACTTCTCACTCTGTAAGAAATGTGGCATTTATTTTAGAAGTTTTATTCCTAGCTGGCAACAATAATTGCCGGCAGGAAAACTAGAATTTTAAATTTTAGAAATTTAAGCACCATTAACAGTCATTTATAATGGTTTTCAAAAATTACTTCATTGTGGTCACTGGTGAAATCAGTTTTGATTTTTTTTCCAATTGATTTTAGTTAATGATGGTTGACAGATATGTAATATCAATCAATGTATTATGAAATACTTTTAAGTTTATGCAAGTGTAATGGTATGGGTCATGGTTGTAGGCCTAGTAAGCTCAGTCAGTAAAGCATCTGACCAGTGATGCAGGGGTCCCTTCTTCAATTCACGGTCCAGTCGTGCATTTTCTCCTTCCTTGTTACAGATTTGATGTTATTGACCCCTCTGGATTTGCAAGTGAAAGTCCTGTCAGGGACTTAGAATTTGGTTTGTGTCTGCAAGGATGAAGATAATTTTAAGGAAGGATATGTAATGGTTGTGCTATGGGTATCAACCTGGGTAGCTCATTCGATAGAGCACCTGACTAGTGAAGCAGGGTTCCTGGGTTCAATTCCTGGTCCAACCACAAATTTTCTCCTTTCCTGTTACACAAGTTTTGAATGTGCCTGAATTTTTACTTCAACATAAAATATTATTCCTAATGATGAAATACATTTTATTTCCACCATGGGATTTCTTTGTATTCTTAGTAACTATTCACATTTTCATATTTAAAAATAAACATATCTTTGGAGACCAAAAAGTAATCTTTGTTGATAAATAACTGTACAGGAATTTGCATTTTTGCAAAATTTTCCTGACCATCATTAAAAAAAAATTATCACAGTAAATCCTAGCTTTTTTACTGTATTCATTCAGGCATATATGATTATCTCTTATATCAAATGTACCTATCTTACATATCTAGAAGGGATGGAATGTAGAAGCTTCTTGGGCCTTATAAACTTGTAAAATAGAGGACATATTACATATTAATAGGTAAAAACATGTACAGTGTGTACTTTTGAGTTTGAGAGGTGAAGTACAATTTCTATCACCCAGTCTTTATTGTAATTTATTGAACAGATGTACATGCAAGTCCATACAATTCACAAATTACTCATTCTAAAGACTCTGATCTCCTTCTTATGCCTAAAAAAATGACTTTTCATCTTATGCCCTGTTCACACGACAAGTTTAATTCGCAGTAAATTAATGCGAAGTAAACTAATGCGAATCAAATTAATGCGAATTAAATTGCGTTCACACGACAGCTAATGCGAAGTAAACTAATGCGAATAAAAATTTTACTTCTACAGTCAGGCATAAGTAAGTCTATTATGACGTCATTTGTAAACCACATCATGTATGCAGAGCCATCCATTTGATTCATCATGTAGTGGCTACAGGTATTCATTGATTTTAGTGATTAACATACTTTCCCTCAATTTTTGAACCAAATATAGCACAAATACCTATATCTAACCACCAACACGTGTCCTGTGACTAAATTCTGGCTTTACGCATGCGTCAAAATTTAATTCGAATTAGCTTCGCTTAGCGTTAACACGGAGCTAATGCGAAGTAATTTAATGTGCAGTAAACTAATTCGAATTACGGTAAACTAATTTGCATTAAATTTTCCGTTTGAACGCTAAGTGAGGCTAATTCACAGTAACTTTATGTTTAATTCAAATTAAACTCTCCGTGTGAACAGGGCATTGATTTTAAACTGTAGAGTTACCATTTATTTAACCAGTGAATTTTATAATTTTGAGTGTGCATGTATAGGTTGGGGCAGTCTCACTGTTTTTGGTTTTAATAAAATAGAAATAAAAAGTAGGGGAAATGTACAATTTAATCCACATGCTTCATTCAAGCAAAAGTCTATTTTAAAGAAAAAGAAAATGTCTCCCTGATACATAAACTTATACTTGATTTAGAAAAAAAAAATTCTGATACATGTACCAATTATTTTCACTTAGTGATTAGGTTCCATGCAAAATAGAGTAATATGTAAAAGCCTTGAAGAAATCTAACTCTAAGATACCAAAGATCCCGGAACATATTTTGGTTTTGAAATTATTGAGAGTCTATATTATAATGATTAATCCTCATCAAGGAAATAAAAATGGTATTTTTATTACTTACTGAAATAAAACAAATACCACAGTTTAAACAAATGACAGTCATTTCAGGGAAAATCAGCACTTCAAAAATTTTTCATTACTTTTTACCATTTTCATGTATATGCACATGTTTGAATGCATCTTTTCTGAAACATAATGTTTTTTGCTCTTCTCAATACCATCTGGATTTTTTAAAGTAAACTTCACTCTTAGTGTAGAGAACTAGCTTACATTTAAAGACACTAGAAAATATCAAGTTGAATTATTTTTTTAATTTTAAATAAAAATTTTACAATATATCATATATACTGTTATAAAAAAATATTTGAAAGTTTTCCCAAATAGATGGGAAAAAAGCAGCTTTAAACCAGAAATTTAAGGTGTAATTAGGACCACTTAATTGACTCTTTTAAATTCATATTGTGTATATTTCGAATACCTTCATGCATCATGAATTAATTTTGCTTGATCACAAGAATATATTCTCTATATATCTCTTTTGCACTTCCTTATTAATGCAATCACTCATCGGAAAATTTGCTACAGTGTTCAAGGCCCTCTACATTTATTTTTTTTATTAGGTGAAACCTTTTTTTATCTTTCAACATTTTTTAAATGGGTCTTTAGATTAAAAAAAAAATATTTGTTTATTCATTGTTAAAAAAAAAACAAATACTCTTAATTGACAAGATGTTTCAAATTTTTTTTTTTTTTTTTTTTTGCAAACCTTTATTTCAAAGCAAAGCTTAATTTACGTATGTAAACAACGTGCACAGCCACTGAGGAAGAGAAAAACGTCTGTGACTTGCCAGGTTAAATCTCGTGCATTATTGTTTTCATGTAGACGATGTAATGTATGTCTACTTACAAAACCCCAAATAAACAAATAATAACCACATTATGCCCAAAATATAAAACTTTACCGACCATATAAGCTCTCGATATGCTTCAGACTAAAGTGTAGCATGTGCACCCTACTTTCGTTTTAACAGGAAGAACTTCGCAAGGTTAAGGTCAAGTCAAGTTAACCAAAGTTTTGCTGCTATAATATCGACAATTTTTATGTAATTTTATGTCTACTAGCTCAAATTTATTAGAATTATTAATATTTGACTATTCTGGGGATTTATTTCTTTATTTTTCATTATGTTAGAGCTAGTTAGTAGATATTTATTACATGCGCGTTTTTTCCCTGTTTCCAAAAATAGCGGACTGACTTTCTTCGTAACAAAAGCCAACACCTTCACTTTAAATCACAATTTCAAAAATAATTCGCATATTTTCACATCTTAATTACCTATTTTTCAATGTATTATGGTTTTATAATGCATATTGATAGATTCTTAGTAATTCACAACTCATTTATACGTTTTATACAACGTTTTATGTTACGAAGCGCTAATTCCACACTCAGACCCAATATATTGGGTTCCCGCACGGTAGCGTTTGTGACGTCAGACCCAATATATTGGGTTCCCGCACACAAAGGGTTAATATTAAATGGAAAATTCAGAATTCATCAGCAATTGAAGCCAAAACTTCCTATCTTTACCAATTATGCTATTAAGGAAGCTGGGGGTTAACAAATTAGCAATATTTAACATATTCTATAAATATGCTATCTTCAGCTGTTAACTATCATTTGGCAAAGAAAAATTTCATACATTTTAGTTTTAAAAATTTGATCATGAATTTTTATGCCTTTTCTTCTTCTTCTAAAGGATATCAATAGAGTTTAAACATGACCATGACCACCAAGCCCTCTTTATTTAAAAAAAAATCATATATCATTTACTTATCAATTCAAAAATATTAAAATGCATATGTAAATAAATAAATAAATAAGTAAATAAATAAATAAAAATTACAATTGTATCTCATTGAAACTTTACCTTCAAGTTTGTGTGTTTCTATGTTGATTAACTAACTGTGTATTTCCAAAGGAAGAGCAGACAGTCTGAACTTCATAGAGAATTGATTACAGATGGTTATAGGAACAAAACATATCTTCCATGTTGATGACTGTAGAAATAAAACCATTTTGTTAATATGACAGAGTACTGCATGAAACAATGCATGTTTAAATACAACATGTACAATGCCAAAAAAGATCATGAAAATATTTGTTTTTAATCTCAAAAAATTGTTTTTAACATTAACTCCAGATGAGAAAAGTTCATCATGTTATCTATAGATAATAAACAAGCACAACTACTGTATTAATATCATAAATAAAATGATTATCAGATTAATTATTTAGACACTAAAAAACTTACTATCTTTATAATATTGATTTCCATTATCAGATGTTTTTTATCCATTTTTTTTATCCATTTTGAAATATAAACATTTAAATAAAACAGAATTAAATAAATTAAAATGATATCTCATTGAAACTTTACCTTCAAGTTTGATTGTTTCTATGTTGGTTGACTAACTATGTATTTCCAAAGGAATTTGGGCAGACAGGCTGAACTTCATAGAGAATGGATTATAGATGGTTAGGAATAAAACATATCTTCCAGGTTGAGGACTGTAGAAAATATAATCATTTTGTTAATATGACAAGGAACTGCATGAAACATTGCATGTTTAAATACAGTGCCAAAAAGTTCATGAAAATATTTGTTTTTAATCTCAAAAAATTGTTTTTAACATTAACTCCAGATGAGAAAAGTTCATCATGTTATCTATAGATAATAAACAAGCACAACTACTGTATTAATATCATAAATAAAATGATTATCAGATTAATTATTTAGACACTAAAAAACTTATTATCTTTATGATATTGATTTCCATTATCAGATGTTTTTTATCCATTTTTTTATCCATTTTAAAATATAAACATTTAAATAAAACAGAATTAAATAAATTAAAATGATATCTCATTGAAACTTTACCTTCAAGTTTGATTGTTTCTATGTTGGTTGACTAACTATGTATTTCCAAAGGAATTTGGGCAGACAGGCTGAACTTCATAGAGAATGGATTATAGATGGTTAGGAATAAAACATATCTTCCAGGTTGAGGACTGTAGAAAATATAATCATTTTGTTAATATGACAAGGAACTGCATGAAACATTGCATGTTTAAATACAGTGCCAAAAAGTTCATGAAAATATTTGTTTTTAATCTCAAAAAATTGTTTTTAACATTAACTCCAGATGAGAAAAGTTCATCATGTTATCTATAGATAATAAACAAGCACAACTACTGTATTAATATCATAAATAAAATGATTATCAGATTAATTATTTAGACACTAAAAAACTTATTATCTTTATGATATTGATTTCCATTATCAGATGTTTTTTATCCATTTTTTTATCCATTTTAAAATATAAACATTTAAATAAAACAGAATTAAATAAATTAAAATGATATCTCATTGAAACTTTACCTTCAAGTTTGATTGTTTCTATGTTGGTTGACTAACTATGTATTTCCAAAGGAATTTGGGCAGACAGGCTGAACTTCATAGAGAATGGATTATAGATGGTTAGGAATAAAACATATCTTCCAGGTTGAGGACTGTAGAAAATATAATCATTTTGTTAATATGACAAGGAACTGCATGAAACATTGCATGTTTAAATACAGTGCCAAAAAGTTCATGAAAATATTTGTTTTTAATCTCAAAAAATTGTTTTTAACATTAACTCCAGATGAGAAAAGTTCATCATGTTATCTATAGATAATAAACAAGCACAACTACTGTATTAATATCATAAATAAAATGATTATCAGATTAATTATTTAGACACTAAAAAACTTATTATCTTTATGATATTGATTTCCATTATCAGATGTTTTTTATCCATTTTTTTATCCATTTTAAAATATAAACATTTAAATAAAACAGAATTAAATAAATTAAAATGATATCTCATTGAAACTTTACCTTCAAGTTTGATTGTTTCTATGTTGGTTGACTAACTATGTATTTCCAAAGGAATTTGGGCAGACAGGCTGAACTTCATAGAGAATGGATTATAGATGGTTAGGAATAAAACATATCTTCCAGGTTGAGGACTGTAGAAAATATAATCATTTTGTTAATATGACAAGGAACTGCATGAAACATTGCATGTTTAAATACAGTGCCAAAAAGTTCATGAAAATATTTGTTTTTAATCTCAAAAAATTGTTTTTAACATTAACTCCAGATGAGAAAAGTTCATCATGTTATCTATAGATAATAAACAAGCACAACTACTGTATTAATATCATAAATAAAATGATTATCAGATTAATTATTTAGACACTAAAAAACTTATTATCTTTATGATATTGATTTCCATTATCAGATGTTTTTTATCCATTTTTTTATCCATTTTAAAATATAAACATTTAAATAAAACAGAATTAAATAAATTAAAATGATATCTCATTGAAACTTTACCTTCAAGTTTGATTGTTTCTATGTTGGTTGACTAACTATGTATTTCCAAAGGAATTTGGGCAGACAGGCTGAACTTCATAGAGAATGGATTATAGATGGTTAGGAATAAAACATATCTTCCAGGTTGAGGACTGTAGAAAATATAATCATTTTGTTAATATGACAAGGAACTGCATGAAACATTGCATGTTTAAATACAGTGCCAAAAAGTTCATGAAAATATTTGTTTTTAATCTCAAAAAATTGTTTTTAACATTAACTCCAGATGAGAAAAGTTCATCATGTTATCTATAGATAATAAACAAGCACAACTACTGTATTAATATCATAAATAAAATGATTATCAGATTAATTATTTAGACACTAAAAAACTTATTATCTTTATGATATTGATTTCCATTATCAGATGTTTTTTATCCATTTTTTTATCCATTTTAAAATATAAACATTTAAATAAAACAGAATTAAATAAATTAAAATGATATCTCATTGAAACTTTACCTTCAAGTTTGATTGTTTCTATGTTGGTTGACTAACTATGTATTTCCAAAGGAATTTGGGCAGACAGGCTGAACTTCATAGAGAATGGATTATAGATGGTTAGGAATAAAACATATCTTCCAGGTTGAGGACTGTAGAAAATATAATCATTTTGTTAATATGACAAGGAACTGCATGAAACATTGCATGTTTAAATACAGTGCCAAAAAGTTCATGAAAATATTTGTTTTTAATCTCAAAAAATTGTTTTTAACATTAACTCCAGATGAGAAAAGTTCATCATGTTATCTATAGATAATAAACAAGCACAACTACTGTATTAATATCATAAATAAAATGATTATCAGATTAATTATTTAGACACTAAAAAACTTATTATCTTTATGATATTGATTTCCATTATCAGATGTTTTTTATCCATTTTTTTATCCATTTTAAAATATAAACATTTAAATAAAACAGAATTAAATAAATTAAAATGATATCTCATTGAAACTTTACCTTCAAGTTTGATTGTTTCTATGTTGGTTGACTAACTATGTATTTCCAAAGGAATTTGGGCAGACAGGCTGAACTTCATAGAGAATGGATTATAGATGGTTAGGAATAAAACATATCTTCCAGGTTGAGGACTGTAGAAAATATAATCATTTTGTTAATATGACAAGGAACTGCATGAAACATTGCATGTTTAAATACAGTGCCAAAAAGTTCATGAAAATATTTGTTTTTAATCTCAAAAAATTGTTTTTAACATTAACTCCAGATGAGAAAAGTTCATCATGTTATCTATAGATAATAAACAAGCACAACTACTGTATTAATATCATAAATAAAATGATTATCAGATTAATTATTTAGACACTAAAAAACTTATTATCTTTATGATATTGATTTCCATTATCAGATGTTTTTTATCCATTTTTTTATCCATTTTAAAATATAAACATTTAAATAAAACAGAATTAAATAAATTAAAATGATATCTCATTGAAACTTTACCTTCAAGTTTGATTGTTTCTATGTTGGTTGACTAACTATGTATTTCCAAAGGAATTTGGGCAGACAGGCTGAACTTCATAGAGAATGGATTATAGATGGTTAGGAATAAAACATATCTTCCAGGTTGAGGACTGTAGAAAATATAATCATTTTGTTAATATGACAAGGAACTGCATGAAACATTGCATGTTTAAATACAGTGCCAAAAAGTTCATGAAAATATTTGTTTTTAATCTCAAAAAATTGTTTTTAACATTAACTCCAGATGAGAAAAGTTCATCATGTTATCTATAGATAATAAACAAGCACAACTACTGTATTAATATCATAAATAAAATGATTATCAGATTAATTATTTAGACACTAAAAAACTTATTATCTTTATGATATTGATTTCCATTATCAGATGTTTTTTATCCATTTTTTTATCCATTTTAAAATATAAACATTTAAATAAAACAGAATTAAATAAATTAAAATGATATCTCATTGAAACTTTACCTTCAAGTTTGATTGTTTCTATGTTGGTTGACTAACTATGTATTTCCAAAGGAATTTGGGCAGACAGGCTGAACTTCATAGAGAATGGATTATAGATGGTTAGGAATAAAACATATCTTCCAGGTTGAGGACTGTAGAAAATATAATCATTTTGTTAATATGACAAGGAACTGCATGAAACATTGCATGTTTAAATACAGTGCCAAAAAGTTCATGAAAATATTTGTTTTTAATCTCAAAAAATTGTTTTTAACATTAACTCCAGATGAGAAAAGTTCATCATGTTATCTATAGATAATAAACAAGCACAACTACTGTATTAATATCATAAATAAAATGATTATCAGATTAATTATTTAGACACTAAAAAACTTATTATCTTTATGATATTGATTTCCATTATCAGATGTTTTTTATCCATTTTTTTATCCATTTTAAAATATAAACATTTAAATAAAACAGAATTAAATAAATTAAAATGATATCTCATTGAAACTTTACCTTCAAGTTTGATTGTTTCTATGTTGGTTGACTAACTATGTATTTCCAAAGGAATTTGGGCAGACAGGCTGAACTTCATAGAGAATGGATTATAGATGGTTAGGAATAAAACATATCTTCCAGGTTGAGGACTGTAGAAAATATAATCATTTTGTTAATATGACAAGGAACTGCATGAAACATTGCATGTTTAAATACAGTGCCAAAAAGTTCATGAAAATATTTGTTTTTAATCTCAAAAAATTGTTTTTAACATTAACTCCAGATGAGAAAAGTTCATCATGTTATCTATAGATAATAAACAAGCACAACTACTGTATTAATATCATAAATAAAATGATTATCAGATTAATTATTTAGACACTAAAAAACTTATTATCTTTATGATATTGATTTCCATTATCAGATGTTTTTTATCCATTTTTTTATCCATTTTAAAATATAAACATTTAAATAAAACAGAATTAAATAAATTAAAATGATATCTCATTGAAACTTTACCTTCAAGTTTGATTGTTTCTATGTTGGTTGACTAACTATGTATTTCCAAAGGAATTTGGGCAGACAGGCTGAACTTCATAGAGAATGGATTATAGATGGTTAGGAATAAAACATATCTTCCAGGTTGAGGACTGTAGAAAATATAATCATTTTGTTAATATGACAAGGAACTGCATGAAACATTGCATGTTTAAATACAGTGCCAAAAAGTTCATGAAAATATTTGTTTTTAATCTCAAAAAATTGTTTTTAACATTAACTCCAGATGAGAAAAGTTCATCATGTTATCTATAGATAATAAACAAGCACAACTACTGTATTAATATCATAAATAAAATGATTATCAGATTAATTATTTAGACACTAAAAAACTTATTATCTTTATGATATTGATTTCCATTATCAGATGTTTTTTATCCATTTTTTTATCCATTTTAAAATATAAACATTTAAATAAAACAGAATTAAATAAATTAAAATGATATCTCATTGAAACTTTACCTTCAAGTTTGATTGTTTCTATGTTGGTTGACTAACTATGTATTTCCAAAGGAATTTGGGCAGACAGGCTGAACTTCATAGAGAATGGATTATAGATGGTTAGGAATAAAACATATCTTCCAGGTTGAGGACTGTAGAAAATATAATCATTTTGTTAATATGACAAGGAACTGCATGAAACATTGCATGTTTAAATACAGTGCCAAAAAGTTCATGAAAATAGTTCACCATGTTATCTTTAGATAACAAAAGAAGCACAGTTACTGTATCAATATCACAAATACAAAATGATTATCAGTGTAATTTTTAGACACTAACAGACTTTCTCTTAACAGCATATTCAATTTTGTTTAATACCTGTCAGTACAGCATACAAAAAGATATTAGCATATACAACATGTAGTCCTACATTTTTTGAAAAGCTCATTACCAAGAAACAAAAGTATATGTATGCCATATATACCACATATTTAGAATCAAAACAAGGATAAACCTTTTGTAGATTCTTACTTTTTCTTTTATTACATTCCTTATAGATCACAATTTAGTAAGTCTGAATTCCATGGGTAACAGACATAATGAATTATGACATTATATCATAATTTATGCAAAAGGACTTATTAACAATATGAAGTTTCCTTAGTATATTTTAGACAAAATAAGACTGTGCTTATATGAATGTTAGAGATATGAGATCACATAAGAATTACACAGTAATTAAATTAAACCATATAATCATGGTTAAATGCAAAGATGACCTTCATAGGAAATGTAAACAAAACAAAGACAAACTTACCAGAATTATCCAATTATATGCCCAATTAAATAATCCAGTGAAACAACATCTTAGCTGATCCTGAAAAAAAGCATACAATATTCAGTGATACACAAATTAACCTCATTTTACAAAGGAAGTAAAGCAACAATTGACAGACAAACAGGACAGAAATGTAAAAGATACCATATGTATTTTACCAAAATTTAGTAAACATTTTTTCTGATTTAAATTCAATCACAGAATGACCCATCATAGTAATATTAAATACACTCTGGGTTACATGCAAATTATACCTTACATGAGCTGAGAATAAATACCCCATTTACATTCATATAAACTGAATTTTACATAACTAATTACTCTTTTAAGGGGGATGTACAAGCCATATTTGATCTAGTCTGGTGTAAACTAAGAAATACCAAGAATGCGCTTAATACTCTACCAAACTAGCCCAAAGTTACTCAAAGTGCTAATGCACTAATTACCTACTGTTAGAGACCAAAATTAGTAAACAATTAAGTTTATTTTGTCTTAATCAGAAGAAAATTAATCATGTTAGAACTGCGCAGCTACAGCATTCATGAGATGAAAAATGCATTGAAAATGGGGTTAGTTTGATTCATTGATAATATGGCTACAACCATTTGTTTCGTTTTTTTCTTGTCATTATCCATAATTCTTGAAAATTTGATTTTTCATATGGGTGTCTTCCTGAGGCCATGTGTTTATTTTGGTCCGCCATTCCTCTGTCACACAGAGTTCGAATAACAATGATTTTAGAATAAATGCGACCATAATAACATCAAGACAAGAAATTACTAAGTAATAATCATTAGGTAATATTACTTACTACTTTTATTTGTTGCAT